ATTCATTGTCCTTCTTTAATTATTACATGTATATTTAACCATGTTTTTCAAAAATATCTATTTTACTTCTAGGCATACAGGCGCATTAGAACGAGCCAACTCTCTGTCATTGATGTATGCCAGCAAGAGAATTTCCTACACGCAAGTAACGACACTTCATATTTTTAAAAGTTCATAGTATTTATATTATCTGTAGCCTATAGAGAAGCTCAAATTGTTGTATACTTCAAAAAATTGCACTGCGTGAACAAAGATCTCATGGAACACTGTCTATTTTGATCAATTGTTCTTTTTAGGAAGAAAGTCTACAAAGCAAGAAAACAACTAGCTGCCATTGACTGGAACTATCACCTCGATATTCCTGAACAAGATGTGCTAGGCGAGGTTGCTGTGACCCGGAAGTACAACCAAAGAACAAAGAGTTGGAATGTGAAAATTGTAAAGCAGGCCAAAGACTATGATTATATTTGGATGCTTCTGGCTAAAGTGTTTCGTCTACGTGTGGAGGATAATGAAAATATGCAGAGGGCGGTCCCAGTGGAAGCTGATGACCCAAGGAGGATAGCCCCTACAATTGCTGTGGTGCCACCCCCACCTTCACGCGAGCTCTTTATTCAGCAGAGCAGCAGGTTTAAGAAAAACTAGCAAACATGATGTAAAATATGTAATGAATATGAAACCTTTATGTATTCATGTGCAGTGTAAGAAAATATTCATCAAAGAAGGACTGTCATGTATGATGCACAATAAGCAACAGTGATGTTTTTGACAATAAATTGACAATAAATATAACCTATGAGAATTGTTTAATAATTTTAATGCACAATATGTGAAACTAAATAATGCAAAAGTTAACCGAAGACAAAGGATTGGTTAGTAAATGTAAATACCGGAGTAGATTGGTCCTTATTGAACTAGCCGTTGGAATCCGTTTTTGTGAGTCTAATTATCCATATTATTAAATTTGCTCGCACTGCCACAATACAAATAGAGCTGTAATGCTATTGTTTTCATGGGGCGATATTCACAGGGGTACTCAATCCAGGACAATTTTTTTTTGAGGGGGGGTGGGGTTGGGGGTATGGCATGAGGTTGAACAAACCAACTGCAATTAAAAATTCCTTGTAGAAACCTATCAAAAAGTTATTTCCATTTTAGCGAGGTTTGAACCCCATGTACACCCCAGTTGAGGAAGGGTAGTGCTCTCGAATTTTCCATACACAGCATGAAGGGCATACCCTTCTTTTGTGTTTTCCAAGGTAGCCATATTCTTCAATTATATAATGACGATAGGCAGCCTTTCGGAAGGCTCTGCTGCTATTATCTTGACCGTCGTTTCTGATATCCCATGAACACTTTATACTTAATTGTAAATAATCAGGGTCCAGGCATAGCTTGCGAAAGTGTGCGCTAAGTGAGACACAGTCTCGAGAAGTACAGCACCGGTTCTCAACCTCCTGCGACATTCTGCGGCAATGTCCACATTTACACCACTCAGGCACTGGTTCACTTGACCTTGCCATAGATGCTGTTGGCGGTGGCCTGAAAGATGAGGGCCCACCTGAAGCTGATGTTCCAGAAATGCTCGAGTCTGAGGCTGGGGTGGATGCAGGTGTAGATTGGGCAGGGTTTGGTGGTGCTGGACTTGACACTTCTGGGGGGGATAGAGAAAGGGAAGATGGGAGAGCGGCATCATCATTCTCATCTTCTGGGTCCTCCTGGATAAGAAGCATATCTATATAGTCCATGCTGCCCACTCCCCTCTGTAGAGCTCTTGTAGCAAGTTTTTTTGCTAGCTCCTCATCCAGGGTTTGGATAAACTCCTGTGAGGTTGAAAAATAGTGCAATAATTTGTTAGAGTAGTTGGACAATTACTTTTTATCACATTCTGTCGAAGCTTGACACGTAGATTTTTTTAAGAGCGTAATCGACGAGAAAATAACTAGTAAAAAGGGGACTTCCCTAAGAAATCTTGCACACTTCAGAACATGACACACAAACGAGACACTAAAACAAAAGACAATTTGCTCCATTTAGGGGAAGCAACAATCAACAACTTGTACAAGGGAAACTTACTAGATAAAGGAATAGCAGATGAGATTTTTGAAAGACTATCTTTTGTGCCATCGACTATGAATTATAATTCAGTATTTTACCTTCACTCGTCGATTTTCCATGTCCCGTTCTTGCTCCTCCGTAAGGCCATTATCTGGTTGGCCTGGCGGTCCTTGCACGAATCCCCATCCTTGGGATGCCACGGATGCAGCCTTCACATGATAAAAAAGAAATCGCAAACTGTACTAGTACTTCCTACCAGCGAATTTTAGACCTCAACCGAGCTTTGTTTCCCCACCTCTCTGTTCTTGCACGGCTTTCGTCGACTGCACGAACAAGCCTCTCCGCAGTAGCGACCGGCTGTTTTGCAAGGACATCCAGTCCTTTTTCTTCCTGCTTTCGTAGAGCAAGTGCTTGTACACTGGCAAGAGTTAGGGACGTTGTCCTGCGCAAACGGGAAGGAAATAATGTTGACTAGATTTCGCGCAATCGAGTGGAATAAACTGCTGAACTGCGGTATTCAGTAGTCCGGGAAGAGTAGAGCGCGAGTCGCTGACTACAAAAGCGGCAAGAAAGTTGTGGCTAAATTAATACACGAATACATACCGCAAAAGAGCGACTTTGTTCCGAAGAAAGGCGCTTTTCTGTAAAAGGTTCCAACGACAATAAGGAATCTCGATGAAGGTTTCGCAGCGCGAGTCGGCTTTTCACATGGGCTCATATAAACATGGCTTTGTTTACGTCATTTGCATCTGTCAAATGCAAGCATGCGCAGTAGCCGTGACACAGCTCCTTTAACAGCGCGGCGTCATCCTCGGAGACCCAGGGGCAGATAAAGGTAGCCTGCGCAGCTGGCGGTATTGTGTGATTAAAGTTTCGGAGCCGCGATCCAAAAAAAGGGAGTGGGGACGAGGCGTTTGAAGTTTTCTGGCACCAATCAGAAGCCAAAACGGCGGCGACCGTTTGGAACTGGTCTGGTAAGACATTGTCCCCAGGGGCTCTTCTCGCCGTTCTTTACTTTTCTTCGTTCCATATATATTTTTCCGCCCGTTTAGACTTTCCCTCGTCCCCACTATCTGCCCCTGGGTCTCCGAGGATGGCGCGGCGTGTGATCTGACCCCTGAGAGACTGACGTGCTAGACTAGACTCACTTTATATCAAAACTCGCACTAGACGTGCGTGGAAAGGGTTTTGGTTGGTTTGTTTTTCGCGCTTTCAAGAGTTATTTTTATTGGAGTTAATTAGCTGTTGGGTCGAAATACCAAAAGGCTGAACGAATGTACTTTACTTTTCAGTGAAAATTTGCGGAAAATTGCGAACTACCAAAATATTAAAAAAAAGATGGACATCTGGTGCATAAATGCCTGAGATAATTAAACGCGCTAGATGGAAGCAACCATAAGTATGCGCAACCGATTACAAATGTGATTAAAATATGCGGTATCGGTATTTAGACGATTTTCGACGCGGTATTTCGGTATTTGCCATTTTTTCTTACGGTATTGCGGTATCGGGTACCCCCCAATGTCCCCCTCCGTAAAAAGAGGATCAAATAGGAAAAATATCGGCGAGCGATCCCCGATACGGAGCGTGGTCCCAGGCTAGAAAATCATAGGAAATTAATTAGATATGCTTCCAAAATTGTACATGAAAGAGGCAGTCACCTAGAACATTTTTGCTATCCTCAAGCTATAGATCTAGATTAGTCCGCCATGGGCAATTTTTGCTTCCCCGACAGAAATTTTACAGAAAAGAGTTGTTGGGTCGGCCTCTGTTAAAATTTCCCCACTGAACTTGCCTAGCTAAAAGTGTATGGCTTTAGCTTTCAATAGCACCAGGAGCTTAACGGTTTCCGGTTTCTGCTGGTTAGGTGGTCAGTAGGGCAACTTACGTCGCTCGCTTCGCGTGCGTCCCTTGCGCTATACTTTAGTTTAAATCAGTAGAGAATTCGGGACGGACATTCTCCTATAGTAGCAGAAACTGGTTCTATACTATAGTGGAATGCTCGAATACCCTTCCTAGCAGGAATAAAAATAAATTTCACGTCCCAGTGGTACTCCGTTATATTTGCCTTATGGATATACCGTAGAATTACGAAAATAAGCCCCTCCAAATATAAGCCCCCGGGGATCTTGTACTTGGAAATTGCCCTCAAATACAAAGTAAAACAAGGGAAAAACAGTAAATTTTCCTCCAACCATAAGGCTAGCGAATTCGATTTTGAAACGCAAATTTTCCTCCCTAGATAAGCCCCTCCAAAAATAAGCCCCTCAAAATAGGCCTCTGAAAAATATAAAGCACTTATTTTCGGAATTTTACGGTAGTTTAGATATTGCCTATTTTGGTCGGGAATCGAGTATGGTTTTCGGGGGAATACGGGAGTGTATGAATGTGTTTGTCGTTTCAATTCCAAATAAATAAGCAAGAAAGAGTGATATGCGAGTTCGAAAGAAATCTTTTTGCTAGCGTTCTAATCTAAGTAATGATAACATAATTTCTGCCTCCGGCAGGTCTGACGACGGGTGTGGAAAATGACTTTTTTTGGTCTGAAATAGGATCAGGATTTGGACAACCGTGCGGCACAGCCCCACCACAAATTCCCAGAAATACCGCCCCCCCCCCCCTCCCACGGGTTTTAAGTGGGCGATCAAATAAAAAAGATCTTTATAGAGCAAGGGATGCCGGCATGTGAGCACGTACCTGATCACATGGGCAGTGTTAGTAAATAGGCAGCTCGTCCGTGGGTCGTCACTTGCAAAACAAAGAGCCGTGGTTTTCAGACTTTTCAGTTCGATTTTATGGAAAACTAAAATTGCGTTGAGTCATACTTTTGAAGAAATATATAAAAACGAGGGCGAGGGTTTCATCAGGGGTTCCAAACCGACCGAGAAACAGGTGAAAGCACGAAGCCGCAGGCCGAGTGCTTTTATTGTTTCAAGGTGTTTGGAACCCCTCATCAAAGTCGAAGCACGAGTTTTTGGGATGACTTCTCAAACGATACAATATAAAAAAAATTATGCCATTTGCTATTGTCCTCACAAAATGAAAGAACAATACTTTATGCAGCGACTCAATCTTGCCATATTACGTAACATTACTTCAACAAGCATGATTAGTTATTTCGGTGTAGTTGGTGTCTGACAATGAGTGAAGATGGAAAGGCAAGATTTAAGGAGCCGAAAACGGTTTACAAGGAACGCGAGTTAGTCATTCTTTCGTCAACCTAATATAAGAACAATAGCTCCCGTTTTAGACAGGAAGGCTCTTTACAGGCCTTGATTTACACAAGGTCGCACAGCTTTCTACCAGCACTAAAGAAATGGATGCAGTAACCTTGAATTACTAGCTTATTAGCAAGTTTGTGATGGAGGTGGCCAAGAAGTCGGGGGAGAGATATCTACCGAAGACCGTTTATGGAATACTTTGTGGTATCCGACGCTATCAAGGTTAATAACATCAATTATCATTCGATGCAAATGTTTCTTCGTTTTCATTGGCCGAACTCCCACCACGTGACCTGCTAATAACTGCCTACAAACAATGGTGTGCTCATGCCTATGTCGTTTAACTGTTTTTGGCTGCAAATACTATTCTGCTCATGCGTAAATGAAACCACGCTTTTCTCCTTCTTGTGATAGCTCTTGCGTGAAAATGATGCAGATCGCTTCGCTTCCCGAAGATATTCCTTAAAAAACAAACTCGGTGATCGAATGATAAAACAATCATTGAACTCGGTTATCGCAAAATATCGTGATTTGTCAGTGTCTCGCAGATCAATCATTTGCCGAAGCCGAATTCGCCTCAGCCTTCGGCTTCGGCAAATAATTAATTTGCTCGCCAATGACAAATCACAATATTTTGCTCAACCTCGTCCAATAATTGCTAAACATTATTCAGGTTATTTTTGGAATTGGTGTTAACGATGTATTAATTATTAAAAAATGCTCATTAAGATGCAAGTGTTTGATCTGAGATCAAAACCCATAAGATTTTCATCTGAGTGTTCACTGGGTATCAAGATTCATGCATGTGACCCAAATATGCCTCATTTATTGGCTATTGCTCTCATGAATAATTAATGATTCGAGAATGCCCTAATCAAACTAGTATTCAGTTAAAACCTCAACTAAAACCTCAGCTATTTGCCTCACAATATGCATTACCCTAGACTACATTCAAAATGTTGTTATTAAATGTCTCTGCTAGTAGAATCATTAGTTCCATTGAATATTTCAAGCTCTCCCTTTTTCTTGTTTATGGATACTATTAAATGCCATTTATGCCTCCGTTTATGGTTTTCGCAAGGAATCAATCTTCAGGAGCATTTCCGTCCCATACAGGCAAAGCTACAGCAATTGTGATCGCTATGGCATCGCGCTCCGGCAGGGAGACATGAAGCGATGAGTATCTTGCTTGATCTAAATGGCATATCAAAGAAGCCAGTGACCTCATTATCATCTCTCGCATTCAGCTCTTCTTCAATTTCCTGACGATGAATAAAGTCGACAAAGCGAGCCGTCACCAGGAACAGACAAACCGACACCACAGATATCGCGAACAGAAGCTTCATCGTAATAGCTGTTGAGCAGAACGTTTGGGCGAAATTCATCAATATACGTTGCATATCTGTCAAATAAACTTCTCGTAAAAGATACAAGAATAGGGTGAGCTTAAGGATATATGTTATACTGCTGTCTTCACGCGCTTTTTAGTGTAGTCTCAAAACACACGCATGAGCAAAGCGTAACTGAATGAAACGTAAATAAGCAAAACAGGCGCGACTCATAGGTAAGAAAAAGTCTAGACTGCAAAACAGTTGGTTTTTTCTCAAAATCGGTTTAGCGTAGCTAAAGAGTCTCACACGCGCGATGTGCGCGAGCCACACACGCCCGTCTCTCCCCAGTCTCGCTCTCCGTTTTCAGCCTCGCCCCAGACCTTTCTTTTGACTATTCGCGCGTGCTTGAATACGCAAAAATAGTAGCCTTCCACGCAGACGTTCTTAGGGTTTCGTCAGGCGTCCCTGACAAAAACGCATAAAGAAGCCCTAACAACGTCTGCGTGGTAGGCTACAAAAATAGGGACTGTTTTGCACTCTAGAAAAAAATCAATCAATCAATCAATAAGATTTAGTGTCTATTTATACTATAGGTTTGCTAAAATTGGCAGGGTCGCTGCGATTGCGCATGAAGCGAATTACAGTAGACACTAGACACAGTAGAAACAGTAGACAATAAGAACCTACATTTTTTTAGGTCTGGCAAAAAATGTTCGTTTATTTTGGGGGTAGTTATTGGCAATTTAGGCCGAGTAGGTTCCTAATTAGATTCTTAATTTCTATGAAGGAGATATACAGTTGTTGACTAGCAGAAAAATAAGGAAACTTGAGTTTGGTCCTGAAATATACAAAATTTTTAGTATTCACAACGGTACATCGCAAACCTCTTT